AAATTTGTCTAGAGAAAAAAATCTTTAACCTGCTTTCCAGTTTTACACCCTACACTGAAGGGGTAACACACACATAAGAATTTTGTTTGTACATGTAAGTGTACCATTTCTGTGTTTGCTTTTTTCATTCAGAAATTCCTCATCTGTTAAAAACAACTTTGCAGAAGATCATTGATCGGTCTACAAATGACAACAGAAATGTAATTATTTTTCTTGAAAAGATTTGTATTACTCTCTGAACAGATGTTGTGGCGTCAAATAAATCATCAGAAAAAGTCCATATAAAGATTCCAGTTGATACAAAAGCCATATTCAGTGTTTTGCTCAAATGTGACCAAAAGGTACCTAAGCCCAAACTTTTTACCCTAAAATTGCAGGAGGAGTTGTCCTGAGGAAATCCTGCAAAAAAGGAAAACTTATGCTCTTCTGAAAAAAGCAGCCTGAACTATATAAAAAAACAAAGTAAAATATGAATACAATGTGGAAATGAGTTAATTTAATCCACACCCAGTATTGATACAATGAGGGGACATTTCTGTCGATAACATGGCAAAAAGGTTATTCACTTAACTTCTTAAGCACCAAGATAACCTGCGTTGTCAGATGTGTTCAGAAAATATGTTTGAGGGAAAAGTTATATTAATCAGTAGTTAAATCATTTGTGTTAAATTCTGTTTTCTGGTCAGATCCAACAATTTCCAAACTTTTAAGCCATGGTATAGTAGTACTTAAAAACGATGTATGGTTTGTTCCTTCTGACATAGGTCTCTCCAAAACCTACTTCTCATTTCAGGTCCTGCTGTTAAATGCATCAAACAAGTTATCGATTGTCTCGATGAACTCTAAAGTATAGGCAGCTCTAGCAATTCCAGCCGCAGCAAGAAGCTAACACTATGAGTTTCTGGGGGAGGGGATTGACTTAGCTAACAGTCGTAGTGGCAAGCATTAATTACTTCTCTGGTTGTAAAGAGTGCAACCCATCTTTTTCATTCTACCAATTGCCCTTGAATGCATACAGGCCATTGCTTTGCTTGTAATTTGGCGGCTGGTTGTCTGTTAATTCACGCAGTGCCGCTTTATGCATAGGCCTACTTGTGTCGCACACCCACAAATCTTGTTGGAATTCTGGCGGCCCCTCGTTTTACTCCATCTTGTACCTTGCATTCCCAGGGTCTCTTATTTAGCTCAGCTATGCATTATGGAAATGTAGCAGAGACGCTAATTTTGTATGAAGTTATTCATGCTGTACTCTGGCGTGATCCCGTGTTCCTTCACTCCTTTGTCCTTGTGTTTTCTCTGCTCAGTTTGGCATGTCAGAGATTCCCCTCCATGTGGCTGCGTGGTAAGGTTCCCTGGAATGCTAATATTCAGAAACCTCAGACTTTGTAACTGTCAATCATTCACCTGGTAAGATGACTGGGCAAGCACTTTGTACACGTGACTTCTTATTCTGTATTTCATCTTTTAAACACGACACTTAGATTCTTGGACACGACTCTAGCAGGAAGTCATGTGACCCTTTGAGATGGAAGATTCCCATTGGTTGAGCTGTTCAACGACGCTCATTTTTTATTAATTCTTAAGCCTCTAGAATTCTATAAATAGTACCACAGTATTTAAAGGGGCTAAAGGGGGATTTGCTCATAGCTAAAATTCCGTCAAAGGTGTGTCAGTTTTTCCCAGGATGGAGTGGGAAATGGTTTGAGGGCCATTGGTCGCTCTTGCTAGCCCCCCTTCCATTGTATTTTTTAAATTATTCCCTTTGGAGGTCATCACCTACAGTGGCCTCAAGGTCACATTCAACACCAGCAACACCTTGGTAGTTTAAGTTATTAAAAAGAATCGTCACATTGAGCACAAATGATGCAATCGGTGCACCCCTTTCTGCTGCAGTGTCTACAGCTCAGTAAAGCCATACACGTACCAAGGTGCCTTCATGAAATTGCAGATGCTTTGTTCCATTTCCAGATGGATTTTTTCCACCATGCAGCACCACTGGCAGAACCAGTTGTGACACCGCTCCCTGTTTTTTCCCCGGTTTGGTAGATGATAAAGTGGGGCGTCTGCTGTCCACAACCTTTTCTGATAGTTCTCACAAGACATACGCTTCTGGCTGGTGAGTCTTTAATCAGTTCAGGCGAAACCCTCTGTCAAGTCAACTACTGCAGTGACAGTTGAAGAAAAAATGTCAGTTTATTGCATTGCTGCCACTGAAGGGCTTGTCGGCTACTACATGTACCGGTACACTTGTCACCTATATGTACATGTACATTGTGAGTTACACGATACATCCATAAGTTGCCGGGTTGGGTTGACCATACCCAAGAATTAGTTGTGTCCAAAATGATAGAGGACACTTGCCGGCTCCACCCGTGTGAAAACACTCGGCTGCTGATTCCCTGCCACTGTTTGGGCACATGATGTGGGCTCTTCCTAAAGTATGTTCTTCAAATTTCGAAGCCATCCCATTTAAAGCGTTTTTCTTGAGTGCATGTTTTGGCTTTATGAGTACAGGTGAAGTTGCTGTTTACTCCAAGCACCAACCAAAAGACTTGGTGTTGGTCTCCTGAGATATGCAATTTTCATAACCTGATAATGAGGGCAGTGTTTTCTGTGATAAATAATTTTCTGAAATCGATGAATAATCATTGGGGGGCCCGCCAAGAGTTCATTTAGTTCAATCAGAGCACACTGACACTTGCCCTGTGGAAGCCTTGTGGCAGTTTTCACTGATTCACATTCACCTTTCAAGCCCATTTTTCTGCCACTTTGATGGGAGTTCACTTGCTATTCATTGATTCAATGCAGTGTTGCAAAAAGTGCTCATCTATTGAGGACCTGAAAGGGATGGCATCAAGAGCCATTCCTTTTGCATTGGGGCTGCTTCCTCTGCACGGCTCATGGGGTTCCCAAAGCAGCTTTTGAAAATACGGGGTGCTAGATTATCTAACATACATGTACGCCTGCTACTGGGTTGCAACAACAGAATTGCACAGGGCTTTCCTCAATTCAGTTGTGCATTGCTGGCCATAACCTGATTGGTTTTAATTTAGTTAGGCCTTAAATTAGATATCATTCAACCAGTGACTCCATCACATACGGAAACGTTGGCCTCATCTGCTCAACACTGCACAAAATAGATTGGCAAATTTTTGTGAAAACCTAATTTTTACTGAAAACCTTGCATAGTGCCAAGAGTGGGGCAAACAGATTAAAAACTATTCCCAGAAACCACTGAAACAAAATCACACAAACTTGAAATGAAAATCGGTTTCCATACAGGCAAAAAACGAGAAACGGCCCATTTCACGTTGCCCCTCCTCTTTTCTCAATCCGTCACTGGCTTCCTCTTGGCCCAGTGGCTTAGGCGTAAACAGTTTAAGGATGGTTGGGGTACATTATATAAGCTTTCCATTGATATAATACTAAACATGATTGGTTACTTGAGTTAATAAGAAAAGTGAATTGTATTTAGTCTCGACCAACAGAATTGAGCCTCTGAATTGACTCAGGCACTTGAGTGTTGAGCAGATGCGCTGGAGATGTTACATGCACAAACCATGTGCATACATCATCAAAGATTCAACTTGGCCTTTTTGTTACAAAGTTCATTTGTTTGTCCACATTTTAAAATAAAATCTGATTTATAATAGCAACACATCAATTTTAGGACAAATTTAAAGTGTAGATCGACAGTTTTTCCAATTTTAATACCTGCTCCACCGAGTCCACTTCCACAATACACCACTAAGTGGAAGGTTCATTGTAAGTGCATGGAAGCCTGAATTCTCCTGCCTCGTAATTAATCAGCTATGTGTTGCACACATCTAATGCACTCGTCACTATATTTAAATTTATTAATTTTTATATGGGATAAGGAAAGTAGACAATTTTGTCAAACAGTTGGTTGAACGAGAGGAAGCAATTCATCTGTTAAAACATGTACTTTAGGTATAACCTTTGAGAAATGTGTCAAAATCTATGGCTTTTTATTTCTTTAAGTTATCTTAAATCGGAATTTCAGGTGAGCTAATTCAGGAATAAGTTACGTCACTGTGTCTGTCCACAGAGTGACAAACATGAAACAGGCTGATTGTGCCATTCCTTCAGCAGATAACCTCAACAAAGACATATCTTGCTGAGAAAAGTTTTTGCAATAATGGTTTACATCATATTTATGTTTATTCTTTTATCAGATGACAAAACTAAGATATGATTTTAGGAATTGCAAATACATGTATCTGTCCACTATTGTGTAATGTTTGTCACTACTAATTTTTCCTTCTGAACGTAAAAATCTCAGAAGACTTCTCTTATAAGTACATATACATTTTTTTACAAAACCAAGGTACTGGTAAATAAAATAACAAACAATTCATTAGAAAAAGTCGGTTCATTTGCTGAAATGAAAGTGAGAAGACTGTCTGTCCCCAGGTTATGACATGTGACAAACGTTTAATACATCTGTCCATGTAACAAACATTAATCATTGAGAAAAACTCGCATTGTGTTCATTTTGCTGAAGTTTAATAGTCTTATTAACAAAAATGATTTTGAAAATGAAAACAAGCAAGTTTGTTTTGTGAACGACTCTGTTTTCATGCTCTAATTCAAACACCAGAAAAATATCTGTCTATTTGATATACATTTTATCTGTCTGTGTGACAAATGTAATGTCTGTCCACTGGCAAATGGTTTTTTTTCTTGAAATTTATTATCTACACTGGAATTGTTTTTATGAGATGATGAAAGTTTCTAAAAGTAAACTAAAAAGAGTATTTACTACATGGAAGGTAATTTTCAATTGAGTTTTGAATTTAATTTCATATTGAAGAAACAAAGTGTCTGTCCATGTGGACATGTGCTGCTTGAGAATTGCAACTGGAAAATAATTGGCACCAGTGTCAGAGAGAAAGGCTGTGTTTCCGTCTCTGAAGACATCAGTTTTGGAATGAGGAATGAAAATGGATAAACCCATTCCCTCTGGTAACTCTGAGATATGGCAAGCTTTCATTTGTGCAATTTCATCATGTCTGAAGTAAAGTCTATTTTACATGTAGGAAGATAGCTAGCTTCTTTTACTGATGCTGGTAACTTCCAATAAGCTGGCTGTTGGGTCACCGTTTTTGACTCTCTGATGCGGACTTTCATAACAATGTAGAACATCAATGCACTGACACGTGTACACGTCTCCTCAATGCCCGCTATACAGTCACAGTGTGCTGCCAACACCTTGCCACTCCTTTCTGCAATTATCCATGGCTTAAGGGAGTTTCCTGAAGTCGTTGAGAATGCATCACCTGTAAATCGACCAATATGGATGAAGTCAATCAATAATACAAATAATAAGTGCCAGGGAGTTGATACAACAGTCGTGCTTGGTTACGTTTGTGTGGAACTGAAACAGAAGCAAATCTTTTACTTAAAAGCAATAATAGACCAAAACAACTTAAGGCCTATTTGGTGTTTCAACTGTGGAAACATCTCTATTTTACTTCAAACATTCATGTTCTTTTAATTGTGTTGTCATGGTTTGTTGGTTGTTTGCCACTAAAAACTGACAGTGACAAGTCCACCTGAGATTGAAAAATCTTCAGTTTTAGGGTTTTAGTTACGATTCTCCTAGTTACTTGTTGGACTAGGGCCAGGCCTATCAGCAACACCAGCACAAGTAGGCATAGGGGGCCTAGGCTACATGAAGTAACAGTAACGAACAATGAAACTATGCGCCCAACTAAAGTTAGGATATGGGCCCAGCGTACTCTTACTCATGAAGGTCACGATATACCCTTCCAAAGTTTGTCTTACCTTGGCTGAAACCACATGACGATCATTAATAACAGTCGCCACAACATCCTGCACCCATCCGCTGACAAACTGGTCGTAGGCTTGGGGTCTCTTATAGCATTTCAAATTCTCTAGCGTGTATGGGCTTGGGGAATGCACGAGGAAATTAACGATGTCTGGATATGCCAAAGTAGCATCTGCACTCCGTGATCGCGGGTTAATCGTGTAGGGATCTATGCCAGCAATAAAGCCGAGCATTTCATCATATCAGGCCTTGGAATTCCCATCGAGAGAACTGTAATACGCGGACCGTGCAGCATTCCAATTTGCCATGATGACTAGGGTTAAACAAACGTGCAAGCTAAAATGCAGCCTGCGTGTAAACAAGTAGGGTTGTAATCCAAGATGGCGGATCACGCTGTTTCTAGCAGCAACGTGACGTCACTAAGACAGGTCTATAGGAGCATCTATAGGATTCAGTTTGGTGTTAACTAAGAAATGCAGCCACTTGATGGCTGCAGCTGTGGAAGTTATCATATTTTCTGAAGTTGCTGTGGCCTTTACATTAACTAATTTTTTTATTATTATTTCTGGTTTATTAAAAACACAATGCATTTGTAGCCCAAAGGCTAAATTGCTTCATTTTTTATAATTTAAAAAGAACACCCAACTGGACACAATTACACACAATTATAATAAAATGAATAACAAATAAGAACAAGTACATACCATAAAATGCTGATAAACAAAAGCATGATTTAAACATGTGAAAGAAAGGGCTATATGTGATTCAAAATACTGACAATGTAGGGTATTGGACTACGTTTATATCTGTTTGTGTTGCACTTGATTTGTTTTAGCAATTTAAGCATGTGAATCTTATTGCTAGCTTTGCAATAAATCTGGTAAATATGTTTATCCCATCTAAGATCTGAACTGATTAAAACACCGAGAGTTTTTACACAATCAACTATGTGGAGATCAGTAGAGGAAATCTGTAAAGGAGGAAATTGGGGAATATTTTTCATAAAGCATACAGTCATGCAAGCACATTTATTTGGGTTGACTTTCATATTAATTGGTACTGCCCATTGACTAAATTTATCCAAAACAGATTGAATTGTATGGGATTCATTCTCTCTACTGCTCTCCACCATAGTCATGTCATCAACATATTTTAGACCAAGTAATCAATCATTAGTGTCAGTTGAGTTATCAAGACAAACAGCACCATTAAATTTAGCAAGAAAACCCAACGGTCCAAATAACGGTAATTTCGTACCCAAGTGAAGCAAATCACGAATAACAATGTTATGATCAATAAAATCA